GCAGGTAGGCGGGTCGCGCCCGGCCGGGCGCCGCGGGAGCTCGCGCCGCGGAGCGCGCCTCTGGCCCGGGCGCCCCCCGCACCGCCCGCCCGCCCGGGTTGTTTATGCCTCGCGGCGCGGGGTATTTTTAGCTCGCCGCCGGGCGGCCCTCCCCGTGCGGCGGGCGCGGCGCATCCCCGGAGCAGAGCGGCCGCCGGGGCTGCTGGCTCGGGCCTTGGCCGCGCATCCTTTCCGCTCACCTGCCGGGCCGATTCCCCGCGCGCGGGCCCGGCGCCCTGCCCTGCCCTGCCCTGCCCTGCCCTGCCCTGCCCTGCGGACCGGGCCGTTCACGGCATCCCCTCCCGCCGAGGCATCGACCCGGCAGGCGCCGGCGCTGCCAGGAGCAGCTGGACGGGATCTGTTCGGGGCAAGCGGTGGTGCAGGCTGCCTGATGAGACGGGGGCGTGGGGGGCCAGGAGCACGTGGGAAGAGGGGGTGGGGGCACAAATGTCAGCCGAAGTGGGGTACCGAGGGACACGTTGCCTATCCTTCCAGAGGAGGCTGCCTTGAGAGCATTATAAAAAGCCAGACTCGGGGCTGCTTTTGCTCCGATGGTTCGCACCCTTTGATGCATAACTGGCTCACGTCCTTTCGCCTTCCTGAGCTTTAATATGCCCAGGTCCTTCTGAGCCGGTCGCAGCTCGTTGGGGCTGACCTGGCAGGGCTCGGGGGCCGCCCGGGCCACCCGCTGACCTGCGGCCGGTGCCCATCTCTTCTTGCTCGCCAGGCCTGGGGCGGCTGGACCCGGTGGCCTCCTTGGCCTCTTCCAGCTCTGCCGTCTTGTGATTCGGAGGCAGGTGGGCGGGCGGGGGAGCCTTCGCGTGTGAGCGGCCTCCCTGCAGGCTCCGGTGCCTGAAGCCGGAGGAGGTGGCCGCTGATGGGAAGCGCCTTCTGTGCTGAGACCCCTCGGCGGAGCAGCTGCCGGTCAGAGCACGGCTGTTTGTCCTGGCCGAAAGCGCCTCCCTCCGCGGGGCCTCGAGTGCTCCGAACTGGAGCCGCCAGCAGCGTCAGAGCTGGGGAAGGGGGGATCGGTGCGCCCGCTCCCACTTGCCTGCTTCTGTCGTGGGCCTCCCCTCCCCACCCCTCCCCTCCCCTCCCCTCCCCGTGCCACAAGCACTCTGGCGGGGATCTGCCTCAGAGCTCTGCTGGGCACTGAGTAGGCCCCTTACCCTGGGCTGGGCTGGGCTGGGCTGGCCGGCCTGCTCCCTGGGCACCTGCCGCTGCTCGTTCGGGCTGGGGGAGGCGCCTCAGCTGGTGTCGGATCAGGAGTGGGAAATGCCAGACTGGCTCAGGACAAGTGGGCCTGAAACTTTTCCGCCTGAGGCTCTGCCGGGTCGCTTTCCGCCCTGGAGGAGAGGGGTGTTTACCCCTGGGGGCCCCACTGTGCTGATGAATCAGCACTCTGAGAAGGGTTGGGCCATCGGCTCCGTTGGGAGCTGCCGCGTCGGCAAGTGATGGGACAGGTGGTGGCCCTCACCACCTGGTCTGGATGCTGGGAGTGGCATCACCCCAAACGGAATCTCTGATCTTGAAAAGGAAAAGACCTCGGAGCCATTGTGGGCAACAGGCTAGACAGGAGCCAACAACGCGGTGCAGCCGCAAAAAGGGCAAATGCTGTTTTGGGATGCATTAATGGAAGGATGACTCGCAGGTCACGAGAAGCAGCAGTTCCCCTGCACTCCTCACTCGCCAGACCTCACCTGCAATACCGTGTCCAGTTCTGGGCACCAAGATTTAAGAGAGATGCAGAAAAATGAGAAAGGGTCCAGCGGAGGGTGACAAAACTGATCCAGAGTTTGGAAACACTGCCCTGTGAGGAGAGACTGGGAGAACTGGGCATGTTTGGCCTTGAGAAGAGAAGGCTGAGGGGGGACATGAGTTCCCTCTAGAAGGACCTCAAACGTCACGGAAAAGAAAGGAAAGCTCTTTTTTCGCTGATAGCAGGGTGTAGGACATGTCATAATCAAATCAAGCGGCAACAACCCAGATTCAGGCTGGATATCAGGACAGGTTCCCTCACCATCAGAGCAGTATGGCAGTGGGACCAGTTGCCTGGAGAGGTGGGGGGCCCTCCCACCCTTGGGACTTTCTAGGCGAACTGGGCAGCCGTCCGAGTGGGGTGGTGTAACGTGGGGGCCTGCGCCAGGAGGGCCTGGCCCCTTCCAGCTCGACGCGCCTATGAGAGTGATTGCGGGGCCAGAGGGCTGGGGGGGGGGGGCTGCTGTGCCCGGGTGCTGCCCTGTTGGGTCACGCGAGCTGCCCTGCTTCTGCCTCCCTCGGCCCAGCAGGGTCCCTCTGGAGCGGGGCAGCAGAGCGCCTCCCATGGCTGCGAGCGAGGGCCACGGCGGGGATTACCATCGCCTGCCCGGCGACGAAGACGACTCTCCCCCCGAGGATGAGGAGGAGCTGCTGGTCCACGTCACCGAGGGACTGAAAGGTACTTGGGGCCTCCAGGGTGGGCCGTGCGTGCACCAGGAGCCGGGCACGTGAGCAGGGGGGGGGGGGGGGTCCTTGCAGCCAGTCTCCTCCTCCTCCTCCTCCTCCTCTTCCCCAGATTCCTGGCATCATATCAAGAACTTGGATAATTTCTTCACTAAAATATCCTTCATGGTGTTGGCGACCGCCTCCAGCCACCCGTGCTGGGCATTTAAAGACATCCCGTTCGCTGCTTCCTTGAGCCCCTTGTCGGAGTGCATGGGGGGGCGGCCTCCAGCTTGGTGGCAGCGGTGGGCATCCCAGTGGCCGCTCGGTGGGTTTGCCTGGGCGTCGCGGAAGGCCCCTTGCCCAGCGCTGGGGACGGGCCACCCTTGCCGCTCCCGTGCCGTCTGGCGCTGAACGGCACAGCAGGCGGCCTGTGGCTGAGCCCCACTGACACCCCCCCAGGGGCAGGCAGAAGGGGGTGCTCCCGGCTGGGGGGCAAGGGCACTGAGCCTCCCCAGGCAGACTGGGGAACCCCTGACATGACAGGCAGCATTCCCAGAGGCCCGGGCCAGGCGGTTGGGGGGGGTGTTGGGGGTTTGGCTTCCTTGACAGTCTGCCTACATCTACCATTTCCACCAGAAGAACGGCTTTGCTTGCATGATGCTCTCGGACATCTTTGAGCTGGTGTAAGTCGGCAGAAGCCTCTTCCTGCCCCTGGCCTGCAGGATCCCCCCGCCCCAGAAGGGAAATGGGAAGCAGCTGGTGGCCCCCAAAGGAGCGCTTGGCCTCTTCCTCTCCCCCCACTGTCCTCATGGGGACACTTCTCTGCCTGCGGGTGGTGGAAGCCGGAGCTGTTCTCCCTTTCTCCCCTCCCTGGCTAGCAGTGACGGAAGGAGCCCCCCCCATCCCACACGTAGCGCGGGAGGCCAAGCTCTGAATCGGGGAGTGGGAGAGGTGGGGGGGGGCTGGTCCCTGGCTTGCCGCCACTGCAGGAATTCGCCCTGGTGGCCCAGGAGGGGTCCGTGCCTGTCGGAGGGCGGGCGGGCGAGGGGTGTTCTGGGCCCGCTCGGTGTGGAGCACCAGCCAGACACCCCTGACCGCTGCGCCCCCAGGCAGTTCCTGTTCGTGGTCGCCTTCACCACCTTCCTGCTCTGCTGCGTGGATTATGACGTGCTCTTCGCCAACCAGCCGGTCAACCACACCCAGCCCGGCGGGGGGCTCGGGCCGGAGCGGAGCAAGGTGACCCTGCCGGACGCCCTCCTGCCCACAGCACAGTGCGCCCAGAGGTGAGCAGCGGGGGGGGGGAGCCCTCTGGAGGGGCCTCCTCGCTTGCCCATGACCGGATGGGGTGCCGCGTCGCTCTTCGGGGGGGCGGGGGGACAGGACCCCCCTTTCGGGGCGCAGGTAGGAGTGGAGCACAGGTGTGGGGTGCGCTTGTGGCTGGAAGTGTGAGGCGACAGTCGTGCCTCCAAGGTGCTGGATTTGGGGGCAGCGATCGTGGCTGCAGCCCTCCCGGGACCCCATCTCCCTGGGGCAAGCAGAAAAGAACGTGTGTCTAGGGCTGCTGGCAAGGTCGGGGCGCGCGCCTGTCCCGTGGCGCTCAGGAGGCCAGCGCTGCTCCGCCTTCTCCGCTGTTTGTGGCATTAATGGGGCGGGGGAGAGGGGGCAGCTTTCTCAGCGGGCTTCCCGGCGAAGGACACCTGTCTTCCCCCCGAACGGGAGCAAGGCCTTCCCCTCCTCGTGGTGTCCTTGTAAATGAGGATGGCGTGAAGATTTCTCCGTGGCCCAGCTGGGTCTGCCATGGGTCTGTACAATCAAACTGATGCGTTCAGGAAAGAGGGGAACTGAGCTGTTTTCCCAGCATGCAGCAGCTGGTGGTATACTGCATCTGGAGGTGGAGGTTCCATTGAGTTTTCTAGGTTGAAAGCAGCCCCCAAGCAAGCTCAAGCTCTTTTCTGAAGTCCGCTTGGACCGTGGAAGGCCTCCCTGTCACAGGTCGGCCCGAGCAAATGTGCTGGCACAGAGTGGGGTGATCTGAGGGCTGTGGGGTGGTGACCTCACCAAGGGGCGCAGCATTTCCGTCCTGCCCTCTTGACCGGGTGCCTGCTGAGCAAAGGGGGTGATCCGTCCTCTGAGCAGGTTGGCGCCTCGCTTTCTCTCCGGGTCCGCCCCACTCATGAGTTCGATCCGTGTTCCGAGCGCCGTCTGTGAGTTTTGACGCACCGGGGGTCGTGCGGTTATTATGCGGCAGGTAGACTCGTCGGCCCCGTGAGATCGGAGCCGGGGCGCGTGTGCGTGGCCCTGCCTCCTGCGGAAAGGGTTCTTGCCCTTGGAACGGCGGTGGCGCACGTACGGCCGTTGTGGCTTCGGGGTGAGGCTGTGCTCGGTCGAGGGCCTCCAGGGCTGCAGGCAGGGCAGCTTCGTGTTGCCCAGGAGGGTCTGCCTCTCGGGGGGTTAAAAAGAACCCAGCACGCCTTAGAAACGCTCAGATTCCAAAGCGAGAACGGGTGTTTCAGCGACTTCTTGGAGACTTCGCCCCCACCTGCATGGATAGATTTCTTGGAGTGTGCAAAGGCCAGCTCGGCCTCTGCCCTGGTGAGGGGCAGCTCGGATGGGAGTCGGCAGCAGGGCAGCGGGTGGGGGGCCTGTGCCGAAAGGGCTGGGCCCGTGGGGCCCGGTCCTGAGCAGCGTTTGGGCTTCTGTGTGGCCTGCAGAAGCCGGACATCCCAGCGATGAGCACTGCTCCTGGCTGCGTTTGTGCCCGGTGTTTGTGCGTGTAACCGGAGCTGCCTGGCCTCGGCTCGGCGTTGCACAATCATTCCACGAAGTGTGACGGGGGACCGCAGCTGGCCGGGCGGGGGGCGGGGGCTTGACGCGGCCTGTTTTTCTTTCCCCTCCCCCAGGATCCGGGCCAGCGGCTGGATCATCTTCTTCCTCGTGATGGCGGCCACGTTCTGGCTGTACCGCTTGGCACAGGTGTTCTGCAGCCTCCTTGGCTACTGGGAGATCCGTGCCTTTTACATCAAGGCCCTCAAGATCCCCTCGGTGAGTGAGCGGAGCTCTGGCCACAGCGGGGCGGGGGGGCAGCCTGGCCGGGAGTGCCCCCGGCTCCCGGGCAGGCGGCCAGCCTCCGAGCCTCAGTCTCCCCACCGTCGCTGGCCGAGCCGCCTGCAGGGGGCGCCAACGCCCAGGCCCACCTGCTGCGCTTCCTTGGAAAGTTCCTCGGAACTCCCGCTTGGCCCGTCTGGCTTGCTGGCGTCTTTCCTCACAGAAGAGCCCCCTTTATAAACGGGATTCAGGGAGATTTAAAAAATGGGCAAGCCGGACGCATGGAGTGGGCTTCTCCCTCCCTCCCCCCCGCCAGTGCAGAAGCCAAGCTGGCCGAGGAGGGAGGAGCACGGCCCCCGCGACCCCGAGGCAGCGCCTTCGCCCAGGCGGGGCTCCTGAGGCCGCCGACCCTTGCGCTGGGTGCTCTGCCACGGGCGAGGGCTCGCTGGCCCCTGGGTGCGGGGCTGCCGCAGGGCCTCGGGGGACGGCTGGTGCCGGCCAGCTGCCAGAGGGCAGGGCGAATTTCCGTCCGTACGGAAAGCAGACGGCGTGCGCCCACCCTTCGCTCTGCTCCAGCGGGCCTCTGGGAGTAGTCTGGACCTTTGAAACTGCGCTGCGCTGTCCTGGGGTTGTTTTCCTGGCTTTTTAGCTTTGCTGTTTTAATATTGGAGCCAAAAGGGAGCCAGTGTGGCATAGTGGATAAGAGCCTGGGACTGGGACTCAGATGATCCGGGTTCAAGTCCCCACTCGGCCATGGAGCCCACTGGGTGACTTTGGGCCAGTCACAGACTCTCAGCCCAACCTACCTCACAGGGTTGTTGTTGTGGGGGTAAGATGGAGGAGGAGAATGATGTAAGCTGCCTTGAGTCCTTTGAGGAAAAAGGCAGGATATGAATTGAAAATAAATAAAATAAAAAGAATCATATCTTTATCGCTTGTGTGTTTCTGTTTATGCTTTAAGCTCATTGGCTTTTAATGCTGTGAGCTGCCTTGAGCCCCCAGCCCTGACAGCAGGCAGAATATGCAGAATATTGCCGCTCTCACCCGCATGATCCCCCTCAGAGGTCTAATTCTTTAAAAAGGGGAAGCTCTGAGCTCCTTTAGGTCAGGAACTACATGCAGGTACCCTGGCTGGAAACTAGGACCAGCGGAGGAGGAGCGCGTCCGGCCCTCCCGCCTCCCCGTTTGCTGCCCGGTCACCGCATTTGTGTGTGTCTCCCGGCTGGGAGCGTGCGCGTGTGCGCAGATGCCTCTGTTGGGCCGCCGCAATTCCAGTGCGGCCTGGCGGGCGAGGCCGCGGAGACCCCCAGGAGGCGAGCTGCGGGGGGCCGGTGGTGGGGGGGGCCGGGGGGCCGGGGCGCCTGCCTCTCACGCCTCTGCCCCGCAGGACGAGCTGAGCAGCCGCAGCTGGCAGGAGGTGCAGGCCCGGCTGATCGCCCTGCAGCGCGAGCAGCCGATGTGCGTGCACAAGCGGGAGCTGTCGGAGCTGGACATCCACCACCGCATCCTGCGCTTCCGCAACTACCTGGTGGCCCTGGTGAACAAGTCGCTGCTGCCCGTGCGCTTCCGGCTGCCCCTGCTGGGCGAGGTGGTCTTCCTGACGCGGGGCCTCAAGTTCAACCTGGAGCTGCTGCTCTTCCGGGGGCCCGGCTCCCTGTTCCAGGGCCGGTGGAGCCTGCGGCCCCAGTGCAAGCGGGCGGGGGCGCGCCTGGAGCTGGCCCGCCGCCTGGGGCGCAGCGTGCTGCTGCTGGGCCTGGCCAACCTGCTGCTCTGCCCCCTCGTCCTGGTGTGGCAGGCGCTGTACGCCTTCTTCAGCTACGCCGAGGTGCTCAAGCGCCAGCCCGGCAGCCTGGGGGCGCGGCGCTGGTCGCTCTACGGGCGCCTCTACCTGCGCCACTTCAACGAGCTGGACCACGAGCTGCAGGCCCGCCTGAGCCGCGGCTACAAGCCGGCCTCCAAGTACATGAACTCCTTCGCCAGCCCGCTGCTCGCCGTGCTGGCCAAGAACGTCGGCTTCTTCGCCGGCTCCATCCTGGCCGTGCTCATTGCCCTCACGGTCTACGACGAGGACGTCCTCACGGTGGAGCACATCCTGGCCGCCATCACCCTCCTGGGGCTCATTGTCACCGTGGCCAGGTAGGCCGGGCCCCATGCAGCTCGCGGGGCTGGGGCCGGGCCCCGATCGGGGCAGGCAGGTGGGAGGCCAGGCCGTGCGCCAAGCGCGCATGCCCCCGGCACACCCTCTCCGGCAAGACTGCCGCGAGGAGCGCCCTGCGGATGAGCGAGGCCTCGCCTGCAGAGGCTCTTCCCGGTCTTGGGCCCAATTTGGACTGGGGACTTCCTTTCTCTTCGGGAGCTGAAGGGGCTTTGCGAGCAGGCCGCCCCTTCAGGCTGGCACTCACGGGGCGTGCGCCCCCCTCCCCTCCCCCGGAAGCGCAGCTTGTGGGTTTTCCGGCCTTTTGGTCCTGCTGTTGAGTTGGGCTCTCTCCGTGTGGCAACGTAATCTGCTCCTGGAGGATGGCACCTCGTTTGGGGCCCGCTCCCCAAGAGCCGCCTAGCCCAGCCTTCCCCAAGCACGTACGTGCCACAGTGTCGCTGGCTGATGGGGGGATTATGGTCGGGAGGCCACCGAGCGGATGGTGTCGAAGTCACACGGCCTAGAGGGAGGCCAGGCTCCCCTCCTGGTCGCCGAGGGCCAGCGATCGTCCCGCCTCTCGGCCACGGAGAGCCCCGACCCTCAGCGCCCCCAGAGGACTCCCACGGGGCGACGTGAGAAGTGCAGAGGCCTGTCTGCGGCTTGCGGGAGGAGGCGCGTTGGCAGGATTTCCGGCCCCACGCGGCGCTTCGGCAAGGCGGTGAAGGGCGCCCCTCGTCTCGCCCCCTCAGGTCGTTCATCCCGGACGAGCACCTGGCGTGCTGCCCGGAGCAGCTGCTGCGGTGCGTCCTGGCCCACATCCACTACATCCCCGGCCACTGGCAGGGCAACGCGCACAAGGCCGAGACGCGGGAGGAGCTGGCCCAGCTCTTCCAGTACAAGGCGGTGAGTGTGGGCCGGCCGGCCTGGGCGGGGGCCGCAGGCTTCGTGGCACGTGGCCCGTGGGGCCGGCCCGGCCCGGCCCAGCCCGCTGAGCAGGAGGTGTCTCGCGGCCACAGGTCTTCATCCTGGAGGAGCTGCTGAGCCCCATCGTGACGCCCTTCCTCCTCATCTTCGCCCTGCGCGCCAGAGCCCTGGACATCATCGACTTCTTCCGCAACTTCTCCGTCGAGGTGGTGGGTGTCGGGGACATTTGCTCTTTTGCCCAGCTGGACATCCGCAACCATGGCAACCCGCAGGTACGGCGGCCGGGCTGGAGGTGTGCGCGGACACGCGCTTGTGGCGTGTGGGTGCACCCGCGGCGGGGCCCCCGGGCAGCGTGTCCAAGCAGCGTGGCGCGCCCCTCGGGTGGAGGCGCATCGACCTGGCCGGGCCCCCGTCGCTCAAGCGAGCCGCCAGCCCGGCCAGGCTGTGCCCGGTGCAGCAGGCCCCTCTCGGCGCTCGGAGCGTGAGCCCGGGCGTGATGCTCGTGGGCCGCCCGGGGGTCGGCAGCGAGGGCTGTGGGCCCGTTCCAGCTCCAGCGCAGGGAAAGGAGCAACCACAGCGCCTTCCCGCATGCGGTGCGGCTCCATGTGCCTTCCCTGCGAGCGCGGGAGCGGGCCGAGGGTGCTCTTGGCGCTCCCACAGCGGGGCCCTCACCCCCGGCTCTCCCCCCAGTGGCTCTCCCAGGGCCAGTCCGAGGCATCCGCGTATCAGCAAGCCGAAAACGGGAAGACGGAGCTGTCCCTCATCCACTTCGCCATCGCCAACCCGGGCTGGCAGCCCCCGCCCGAGAGCTCGCTCTTCATCGGGCACCTGAAGGAGAAGGTGCGGCAGGATGCGGCCCTGGCCCCCCCAGCCCAGCGCCTCTACACCGAAGGCCCCTTCGGCGCCTCCTTCCTGTCCGAGGAGGGGCCCGGCGCCATGGTGAGTGCGAGGGCTGCTGGGGGGCGGGCCGGCGACCCCTCTGGGGTGGGGGCTCCGCCTAGCCCCTCTCTCACCTCCGCAGCCGGACGCCCTCCTGGCCAGCGTGCTGGCTCACCCGGCCCTGGCAACGGGAAGCCCGGCGGCTCATCGGCCTGTCGAGACTGCCTGCGCGGCCGCCAGCGTCCTGGCTTCGCTCTCCTGCTCCCAGCTTCCCCGGCGCGGCCGTCCCCCAGCTGAGGACTCTGGCTCCTGCAGCGACAGCACGCTCCCGGGGGGCAGGTATGCTGCGGGGCGCCTGGCAAGGCAGCGGGGGCCGTGCGCAGGGCTGGGGCCAAGCAAGCGTGGCTGGGGAGGGGAGCGGGCGGGGAGGCGAGCTGGGGGGAGGCTGCCGGGCCCGTCTGGCCATGCAGTGCCGCTGGCGAGAGCGGCCCAGAAGCCCAGGACGTGCCCAAGTGCAAGGGAGGGAGGAGCTGCCCCTCACAGCGGTGCCTGGCAGGCCACGGCGGCTCCTCAGCCGGAAGGTAACGGGTCCCAGTCATTGGCGCTCTGGGCAGCGAGTGCCCCGGGGAGGAGCCGTGCCCCTGCGGCCTTCCGCCGGGTCTTCCAAGCAGGCGGCCCTCCTTGCTCCTGCCGGCCCCACAGCCCTCCTGTCAGCCCCCTCGCCAGTCCGGCTCTCCTTCCAGCCGAGATTCCGCCCCGGCGTGAGGTGGGCACCATGGCAGAACCGGAGGGCTGGGCGGCGGGCGCTGGAGCCGCTCTCGCCCAGGTGCAGCCCCCCGATGGCCTGCCGGCCGGCCCCCATAGCACTCTGGGGGCGGCAGAAGGGTTCTCTGCGAGCCACGGGTGGCCGTCCGGCTGGGGCCTTCCTCCCAGTGCCGCTGAGCTCCACCCCTGATCCCCCCAGGAGTGGCCCTGCCCACCAACGCCCTGCTCTCCTTGCCTTGCAGTGCCGGCCCCACTCCGACGCCCCAGGCGGCCCTCACCCGCTCGGCCACGCTCTCCGCACTCGCTTCAGCCGAGATGAGCCTGCACGCCATTTACATGCACGAGGTGAGTGGCCCCCCGCCTCCAAGGGCCCGTTGCACAGCGGTGCTCCCAGGCCCGTGCTCGCTCTGACAGCCGGCGCCTCTCTGCCCCGCCTTCAGCTCCACCAGCAGCAGCAGCAGCAGCAGCCACAGCCGCCGGCCTCTGGCCCACGGATGCAGCCTTCGACACAAGCAGGTCAGGAGGGGGCGCGGGCGGGGCGAGGGTCTGCGTCCCCGTCCTCGGCCCTGAAAAGACCACTGGTGGCCCCTGCTGGGCGCCTGCCTGGAGAGGGACAGCCGGGGACCCCCAGCCCCCTGGCAGCCCAGCACTGAAGGGGCTCCGGCACCCCCGGCCCCCCGGCCTGAGGGCCCAGGTGCAGCCGCCAAGCGCCAGAGCTGCCCTGGGCTGCTGGCTGGCCGACCGGCAACATTCCCCGCATGGCCGGCAGCGGGTGGCACGGCCCCTTCTTCTGGGGGCAGGGGGTGGGCGGAGGTGTCCCTCCGGCCTGTGGGCCCTGGCTGCGCCCTCCAGCGGGAGGCGGGAGCAGCCGTGCTTCTCACTCAGCCCCCCCCCCCGATGCAGCGTCCCCCCGGCTCTTGCACACGCAACCTGGACCGAGGCCTCGGGGGCCGGGATGCGGGGCAGTCCTGGGTGCAGCCACAGGAGAGGGAGCGCAGCCGGCCTCGCGGCCGATGGGGCACCTTCCTTCGTGGCGTAAGTGCCCCCCCCCCGCCCGGCCCGCATGAGCTGCTTCCGGTCGGGTCGCAGCTAATCCCCAGGGGAGGAGCTGCTGGGGGACCCTGGGAGGAGGCCAAGGGGCGGCTGGCGCCTCGGTGCGCGCGCAACAGGGGCCAGGCGTCGGCCGCTGCAGCGTGAGCGCCTGGGCCCATCCGAGGGGACCGCACACTCCTCCCTGCAGCCCCGGAAGAGCCCATCCCAGCAGGGGCGTCCCCAGGGGTCTCCCCGTCTCAGCGGGGCCCTGCATCGCCGGCCTTGCTCCCGACAGGTTCCTGAGCACTGGAGCGCTGTGGGCAGCAGCTTGCCGGGACCCCCCTCCGCCCAGCGGTGCGAGCAGGAGGGGCCGCCGTGCCGGGCCGTGCCGGGCCGGGCCGTGCCGGGCCGGGCGGAGCAGCAGCAGGAGCAGCAGCAGGAGCAGCAGCAGCTCCCGCCCCCACGGACTCGGGTGCCGGAGGGGCAGCGCCCGCGTTGCTGGAGGACCCCTGCCCGCCTCGGCGTGCCCTTCTGGGGCGAAGGAGCTGTGCGTCGGACCCGGCCCTGCATGGCGCTGCTCGTGTGCATAGGGCTGCTGTGGGCAAGTCCAGAATGGCTTGGGAGGGAGCCGAAGCAAAGGCCCCTCCCGTTTGTGGGGCGGGGGCAGCCCCCGGCCCGCGCCCCCCGGCCCACGCCCCCTGCTTCTCCCTGCCCTCCCTCTGCTCTCGCAGGGTCCCCCCCTGCACCGGGCCCAGGCACCCCCCTGGGGAGCGGGGGCCTGGCCGGCCTGGTGCACCCACCTCAGGGCAGTTCTGCGACAATAAATGTTTACAGACGTGGCTGGCAGAAGTGGTTTTGGTGCGGAGCGGGAGGCAGGGCGGGCGATCCGGTCTGCGTCCCGGCAAGTGCCGAGAGCACCAGGGCGGCACCGGAGCCCGTGCCGGGCCAGGACATGGGGGACACGGCTTCTAGTCCCCGTGCAGCCCAGGAGCTCACTTGGTGGCTCTGCGCGGGCGGGCTCTCCGCCTGACCCAGCTCAGAGGTGGTTGTGCGAAGGAACCAGAGCGGGAGGAAAAGGGCGAGCCTCCCGGGCCGTCCGCCCAGGGGTATCCGGGGGGGGGGGGCACGCCTCGTCGTGGTAGCTGGGCAGTGGCTCCCACTCGAACTGGCCAGCGTGGCGGCTCCGTTGGCCCCACGGCCTGCAGGGAAGCGGCGCCAGGTGGGCGATGGGGCTAAATCTGTCGCTCGGCCCCCAAACAGCCGGCGGGATCGGCCGGGACTTCCCGCCTTGCCGAGGCCTCAGCCGTGTTCCTGGGCCGGGCCGGGCCGGGGAAGCCAGTGGCCAGCCTGCAGCACCCTGAAGGGGCTCGGAGGCGCTCGCCCGGTGGCCACCGCCCATCCGAGCTGGCCAGAGCCACGCTCCCGCTGTGTAGGGAGGCCCCTTGGTGCCCGGGGCCGGCTGGCCTGGCCTGGCCTGGCCGGGCCGGCCCCTCGCGTCCCGTCGGGCCCGGGGGCGACGCAGGGAGCACAACACGACGCCTTGCGAGGGGAAGACGGCTTTAATGGCGGTGCCTGCGAGGGGCGGCTCAGGAGTCCAGGCCGAGCTGGCTCTGCCTCTGCTTGGAGAAGGACTGGCTGCGGATGCGTGATGCCACCTCCCGCGCGCGGAACGTCAGGCCGAAGATGTCCTCGTGGTAGCGGTTCTGGTCCTGCGGGAGCAAGGGTGGCCTCAGCACGGGCGGGAGAGGAGCCGAGCCCCCCTCCCCTCCCCTCCCCTCCCCTCCGGTGGCCTGCCCAGGAAGCGCCTGGCTGCATTCCCTCTGCCTCGGGTGGCCTGTGGAGGCCCTCGGGGGGGGGGGGCCCTCGGGGGACGCGCCTCCGCAGCTGCATGGTGGGATGGCCTGCCCTGCCCCTGCCCCGCGGCTCAGCCTGCCACCCTGCCAGCAGCCGCGGGGGCTGCAGCCGCCTGGACCACGGGCAGTCGGGCAGCGAGAGCCAGGGCGCCACCTTTCATGCAGGTGGCCTGTGCGGCGGGGGCCTCGCGTGCTCCCGGGACCCCGGAGGGCCTCTGCCGAAGTGCCGGTGGCCCCGCGTCTCCCTCCCTCCCTCCCTCGCTCGCTCGGGCCGGGCCTTGCCCGGGGGCCCCGGAGCCGCGGCTGGGCAGGGGCGCTTACCCGCAGCTCGCTGATCCGGTCCCCGGCCTCTGCCAGCGTCATGCCGCCCTCCTTGGCCAGGATCTGCTGCACGGTCTGCAGGACCTCCGTCGCCATGGTGACGTCCCCGCAGACGTACATGTGGCCGTCCCGCCGGCACAGGGCCTCGAAGACGTAGCCGGGGAGCTGCATGCGCAGCAGGTCCTGCACGTAGGTCTGGCGGGCGGAGGAGGCGGGTGCTGGAGCCGGGCCGTGGCCGTGCCCCACACTGGCCCCTGCCCCAGCCCCTGCCCCTGCCCCAGGCTGCCCCAGCGCGTCTCCCCTGGAAACCGGCCCCCGGGCTCTCCCGAGCGCGGTGCCCACCGAGGGCAGCGGGAGCGCCAGCGGGACGGGACGGGACGGAACGGGAATGGTGGGAGGCCGGCGGCCCCGCAGTGCACCTGCCCGGCCCCCTGGACCGGCAGCCCCCCGCTGAAGCCAGGAGGCCCCCCCCCACCTTGGCGTGGTCTGGGTCGCGGGAGAAGCCGGTGAGGGTCCGGCTCAGGGCCCCTTTCCCCTCGGCCTCCCGGATCTCCTCCTCATAGATGTGGTCGTGGCGGGAGCTGCGGCAGCCGAAGACCAGCGTCATCTCGCCGTGCGGGAGGCCTGGGGGGCACACAAGTGGGGTGTCAGGGGCACGGGCCCGTGTGGGACGGCCCCCCAACCCCACTGCCTGACCCACCTTTGACCTCGGCATCGTGCACACGCTGCTGCCAGAAGCTCCGGAAGGGGGCGATCCCGGTGCCGGGCCCCACCAATATGCAGGGGGCCATGGGGTCCTGCGGCAGCTGGAAGTTCGGGGCGCTGTGGGGGGTGGAGAGCCAAGGGGGACTCGTCACGGGTGGCAAGGGGGGCGCAGCGGCGGTGGAGGCGCACTGGCTGCTGACCAGGCCGTGAGGGGTGCCGGGCCAGCCGCCAGGCGTGGCTCCGTCCGGATCTCCCTCGAGGAAGGCGGGGGGCTTCCCTTCCACCAGCGGCCCCTGTGGGCCCCCCCAAAATCCCTTGAGCCACGCCTGGAGGCACCCCAGCCACCGCCCCGGACTGGCCAGAGCGAGCCGGAGGGCGGCGCGATCCTGCGCAAGCTTCCGCCATGGATCTGGGCGCTCGGCACACGTGTGAGGGCTGCAGCAGTGCTCGCGTCTCGCGGGGAAATGCTAGTCGGTGTTTTGTTTTGGCTGTTAAACCCTGAGCGAGGGGAGAGGAGGAGCACCCCAGACTCCGGCCATGGCAGCTCTTGAGCTCCAGGAGGGCTCCCCACGCCCTGGGGGAGGGAGCGGCTCCGGCCCCCCTCCTGGACTCCCCTTCTCAGTGGGAAGCAGCTCCACTGAGCGCCCAGCGCCAGCCTGAGAACGGAGGGTTGGGTCCCGGTGGAGTCCTGCTTCAAGCAGGCGCGGCGACGGAGATGCACGATGGCCATGGACCGCAAGCTGCAGGGACCCTGCGGGGATTTCGCGCGGCAGCCGAAGCGACCCCGGCACACCCCGGAAGCCATCGAGCGCGCACCCGGTGCGGGAGCAGCTCAGCCTGGGAGCGACCCACGCGATGAGGGGCGGCCCGGCACGAGGGCAGCTCGGCCTCCGCCGGAAGGAGGCCCCCCGTGTGCGTGGAAGCCGTCCTCGCCCAGCGTCCCGGGACATTTGGTGGTCTGGCCCCGCAAGCCCGGGCCGCGCGCTCCCCCCCGCCTCCCTCAGGATGGGACGCTGGAGGGCGGGCTCCATCCCCACGCGGGGCCCAGGCCAGGCCCCAGGTCCCTGGCAGCCGCTTTACCTGCGGACGAAGGCTGGCACCATTTCTCCCGGGGCCAGCTGGGACAGCCACGTGGAGCAGACGCCGTGGCGGGGCGGGCCCTCTCCGTCTGCGGGGAGAAATCAAAAGAGCAGCGGCGTGAGCAGCAGCCCCCTCAAAGTGCCCCCTCAGACCCCACCCCACCCCCACCCCCTCCTCCCCCACTCTGCCTTCTACGGGATGCTTGTGCCCCCTGCCGGGGGGCCGGTCCCACCCCTCCCCAACAGGTCCGGCACTTCCGGGCCCACCGCCTCCACCCGCCCGGCAACCCGGATCCACGCAGAAGAAATCCCAGGTCCTGGAGAGGAGGCTGCCCTTGGCCTGCCTCTGCCCCGCCTGAAGCCGCCCCAGCCCTCCCGGCCCCAATCCCCGCAGGGGCTGTGCCCGGGCGCCCCTCACCCTGGCTGCGGTAGGTGAGCACGGCCACCGTGAGGTGCATCTGCCCCGGGTGGGCGTCCGGCGAGGAGCTGATGGAGTACTGGCGCGGCTGGAGCAGGGGCAGCTGGGTGAGGAGCAGCGAGGCCGGCAGCGCCACCGAGGGGAACTCCTCCAGCACCTCCAGCAGCGTCGGGCAGCGGAACCACTTCCACTCCTCGTAGAGCAGGGAGTCCTGGCGGGCAGGGAGCACGGGGCGTCAGCGTGGGGCCACCCCGGGGCATCAGCGGTGGGGCGAGTGTGCCCTGAGGGGGTGCAGCGAGAGCAGCCCTTCCCACCGGCTGCCGCCGTGCCCCCCTGCCCGAGGGGGGCCATGGCTTGGCCATTGCTCGCCAGCACCTTCCGCGCCCGACCCACCTGCACGGGGCCGGCAGGGCTTTTCTCACAGCGGGGCAGCCCCAAAGAAGAGTGCGGTGGGCTGCGGGGTCCCAGGAAAACCTCCCTGGAGGGTGCTCAGGACGGGCCTTGGGACCCCCGTGCTCTCAGGGCCCACGCCCAGCCTGTGCCCCCTCCCCGCCTGTCTGCTCCCGGGGCTGTGCAAGGCTTGGCCCAGGGCGGCCCCTTCGCAGCCGTCCTCGGGGCAGGCAGCTGTCCACCCCCCGCCCTGTGCAGTGCGCCCACCTGGCTGAGCCGGCGCAGCTTCTCCTCCTCGGCGGCGTCCTCGGCCAGGGCGGCCAGGAGCTGCAGCAGCTGCGGGCTGGGGGGCGCAGCGACGTCCAGGAGGAAGGTGAGCGCCTGGCGCAGCGTGCAGGGTGGCAGGCGGGCGCTGGGGACCCACAGGCGCCTCACGCCTGGGAGGAGGGCGAGAGGCTGAGCGGCTGCGCGCCTGAGCCGAGCGGAGGGCACCCGGGGCGGGCGGAAGGGAGGGCCCCTGCGGGGGGTGGGCGCTGCGGCTCCCCTCCCAGAGCAAGCGGTCTGGCCAGTGCCTCCCCGGGAGGGCGCCCAGGCCCCCTGGGGCCCGGGGAGAACCCACTCCCAGCTGCCCGGCACCGTGTGTCCCCCGGCAGGCTGCCCGCGGTCGCGTGGGGCAGGGCGTGCCTCGGGGGGCGGTGGGGGGCAGGCTCTCCCACTCCCGCCTGGCCTCTTTCCCTGGGTGTGCGAAGGGCCGGGCTCCACCCTCCCTCCCTCCCGGGCTGTGCCTCGGTGGGCGTTTGGCCCGGAGCGGCCCAGCAGAAGCGAGGGACGCTCATGGGGAAGGGACCCCCAGGCGGCGCCCTCGCCCCCTGCATGGGGGGGCCTGCTCGACCGCCGCACACAGGCACGCAGCCCCCCCCCCCCCCTGTGGGAGGCTCGCGCACCCTCCGTGCCGGCCTCCAGGACCTCCACGGCGACGGCCTCCTCGGCGGGGGGCGGGTCCTCCACGCGCTCCAGCAGCCCTTCCACCAGCTCCGGCCGGTTGGCGGGGAAGATGCTCACGTGGTCGCCCGGCTGGTACTGCAGCTCCGGCTGGTCGCCCGTCTGCAGCTTGACCAGGATGGTGGAGCGGCTGCGGGCCAAGGAGGCTGGTCAGGACGCCCGGGGCCGCCTGAGCACGCGGCCCCAGAGCCTCTGAAGGGCCGACCGTGCGTCTGAGCGCAGAGCCGCCGCAGGGCTTGGGCCGCAGTCGGCATGTCGGTCCATGAAGTAGCCAAGTAGCCCAGGAGGCTTGGCCACAGGAGACTCGACACCGCTCCCCTCTGGAAACCCTTGCCCTGCAAGGTTTGCGCTGGGGCTGCTTCGGAAGAGTTGCCCGCAGTGCGCCTGTGCAATTCGACTTTCATTAATTCGCCTGGTTTTTGTCAAAACCATTGTGAACTACCTTGGAAGGCGAACCTGTCTTCCTCTTTGAAAGCAGGAAGACCTGGTTGTGTGTAACCTCAGAACACCACTCGGGAAGAGGCTGGCTGGGCCCAGCTGGGGAGCCTGCCGGGCGGCCGCCGAGGGGGTGTCGGGCAGCCTGCTCCCTCTCGCACCGAAGGCACAGCCCCATCTGGCCGGGCGCTGGGGGGCAGGCCGCCGCTACAGGAGCTTCACGGCACCTTCCCAGGCCGAGGGGAGGGTCTCCGTGCGAGGCGAGCCGCCCAGGGGCCTGACCTGCACTTCGTCCCGGAGCCCAGCAACACTCGGCAGGAATGGCCCGGGCGGCGTTCGCGGGGGCTCCTTCGCGTGCCAGGAGGACAGTGCAGGAAGTCCTGACCCCCCGGGTGAGGAAAGCGCTCGGCTTGTGGCAGGATGTGAGCGCCGCCTCTTGGGGGGTCTGGGCAACTCGCTGCAGCCCTCTGCCCTGCTGGTGGGGCAGCGACCCTCCTCAGCAGTGGGGCGGGGCGGGCCAGAGCGCCCCCCGGGGCCTCACCTGGATTCCGGGCTCTGCAGGTTCTTGACGGAGAGAATGTGACAGGGCACCACCTTCCGCTTGTGCACGTGGGTCAGACCTGGGGGGAGCCCGAGGGGCGGTGTTGGGGCGGCTCGAGCACCGGTGCTCGTTCCCTGGCACATGGGCGTGTGTTGTGCCACGGCCGCGGCAGGGTCTCTGCTCAGGGCACAAGGAGCGCCCCCCCCCCACGCAATGCCCTGGAATGGGGAGGTTGGGCCCCCAGGGCTCCGGACACGCATGGCCCGCCACCTCTGCTGCGAGGCGCTGACCGGGGGGGGGCACAGCCAGGGAGCCCCCGGGGGCCTGGGGGCAGGCCACAGCCTACCTGCCAGCAGGTCGAACGTGCTGGGGTGGACGGACAGGCGGTGGCGGCTGCGCTTCCAGCTGCAGCGGCTGGTGAACACGTCGGCGGCCGCTCCCTCCAGTGGCGACTCCACGCAGAAGGTCTCGCAAGCGGCCTGGGGGGCGAGCGCAGAAAGCTCAGCGCGAGCGGTGCGCCCCCCTTGTTCCCCACCTGCGCTCAGGCCAGCCAAGTTAGAAGAGGGGCCAACTGCCCGTGCAGAGCTGTGCTGGGTGTGGGGCGGTCGGCAGGGGCGGAGGGGCCCTCCGGGTTGTGGGTCTGGAGCCGCATCCCTGAAGCCGCCACTTGGTACATGGCGAGAGGAGGGCCCCAGGGAGGCATTTGCGGCGGGAGGAAGGGGCGTCCTGCTCCAAAGCTGGAGCTTCACCGCCCCCCCCCCCCCGCAGCCTGTCCCACGGCCGGCTTTTCTTCCTGGGGAAGCTGGGGGGAGTCACCGCCCCCAGGGCCCGGCAGGCGCCTTTTGCAGCGTGTGCAGCGCAGGGGGCGGGGGCGCAGACATCTGCAGGGCCGAGCGAAGGCAGGCTTGCGGGGGGCGGCAGAACCAGCCCTGGGCAGAGGGAGGGGCCGCGGGGTCGAAGGGCTGAGCGGGGCGCCGGTCCCGGGAGGCCCGGGAAGGAGGCGCATTCAGGCGCCGGTGGAAGGCCGGCCGGCCGGCTGGCCGGGCGTGCGCGCCCAGCTTGGGGCCCCCGCGCTCCCTCCGCGGGCTGCGGGGGTGGCGGGCCGGGCACGCCCTGCGCGCCCCGGCAGCCCGCCCTCCGGGGGCGCCGCCCGCCCGCCTCACCTTGAAGACGTCCCTGGCCCAGGTGCGGAACGACTCCTCCTGGCCGCACAGCTCGTCGCCCTCGCCCATGGGGAGGATGCGCTCGCCGCCCAGCTCCTCCAGGCGCGTGTCCACGGCGTGCGCGAAGGCGCAGAAGTGCGGGTAGGCGCGCGAGCCCAGCCCGAACACGGAGAACCTGCGAGGCGCGGCGCGTGAGCGGCGGAGGCGCGGGCCGCTCGGGGCTTGCGCGCCGGCTGCGCCGCGGCCCGGCCTCCGGGGCGCCGTCCTCCCGCCCCGCTCTGGCGCGGGTCCCCCACCACCGCCCGCCCCGTCTCAGTGGCTTCAGGCGGCGCGCCCGCTGGAGTCTGCAGGGGCTCAGGGCCCCCCCCCCGAAACGGAAGCGACTGTGGCGCTGCCCGCACCGAGTTCGAATCCGGCGCGGCTTCCCGGCTTGGACCCCACGTGCGCAGGAGGTCCTCCGTGAGCGCCACGGCCTGCCCGCCGGTTCAGCCTGAAGGCGAGGGGGGTCGGGCCCGCTCAGCCACGCCAGTCCTGGGCAGGGTGGCCCAGAGGATGCCCTTGCCGACACCCCCCCTGCCCACTTCGGGGGAAAGCCTCGGCTATGGGGCAGCATGGAAATGAATGAACGGATCAGCTGCAGGGGGACAGGGAGGGAGGCGCTGCGGGGTCCCACCTGCTCCTTTGCCATGGTGGAAAAAGGGGCTGGGGAAGGGGGCCTCACCCTGTGGAAGCCAAGCAGGCAGCCTCCCTGGCCAAGGGCCATGCTGGTGGCGGGAGTTCTGACCCATAGACACAGGCAGTGGGGTCCAAGGGGGGTGCGGCTGCAGGGCGAGCTGCCCGCCTTGCAAAGGCTGTAGAGATCTCACCCCATCTGGGCTTATGGACGGGGCAGAGCTGGAGCCAGCCGGTGGTCCTGATCCACGTGGGAAACGTCCTGAGGTCCCGGAGCAAGTTCGGGGTGCTGGCAGCAGGAGGGGAGCAGGAGGGGGCCAGCCGGACAGGATGGGGGGGTTGGATAGACTGCCAAAGCATCCACTGCCCGAGTTTGGAGGAGGATGCTGAACTCAGGTGCTTCTGTGCAAAAGGCAGCAGCCGGGCCCCCAGAGTGCTCTTCAAGGTTTTAGTTAATGAGTTAGATGAGGAGGTTCAAGGAAAGATAATTAAATGTGCAGAGGATGCAAAGCTAGATGGAACAGTCTGGAAAACCGGGATAAGATCCAGGGTGATCACAGGAGCTTAGAAAGCTAGGCAGCGAGCAGCAGGGGCTGTGGAGCGGGACTTACGGCCCGCAGGCCCTGCTGGTGGGCCTCCCACTGGAGCATCTGACTGGCCGCGGGACAAATGAGGCAGCCGCTGGCTCCTTCCACCCTCTCTCCTGGCGGCCGTACCGGAGTGTCCCCAGGGCTCCCGCGCTGTCGGTGTTGCTGGACTCCCGGCGCTTCTTCCGCCACGCAACGATCGGGTCAGACTGCGAGACGCTGTTGAAGCGCATCTTGTAGCTCCTGCGAGAGAAGGGGCGAGTCCTGAGGGGCAGCGCCTGGAGGACACGTCTGTGCGGGTGAGCGTGCTGTCGCAGCTGTTCCCGGGCCTCTCCTGGCCCACTGCGGGGACCCAGCGCTGGCCAGAGAGGCTCTCGCGAGAGACGGGCGCAGGTTCCAGGCAGAGCGGCCTGGGGAAGCGCTGGACATGGCCCCGAAGCACCCCATGCTGCCCCATGGCTGGAGGAGCCTTTGGACTTGCGGGCCCAAACATGCGTGTGCATCCAGACACATGCAGCACCGCGGGCTCCTGGCCAGGCGCTGCAGGAGAGAATCGGCCGGCCAGAGCCGGCGTGGCTGCACAGAGCAGCGTGCGAATCGCGGGAGGCCGAGGCCCACGTGCGGGGGCAGGAAGGGGCTTCGGAAGGGCCCTTCGCGCTCAACGCTGCCCGCAGGCACAGGCCCCTCCCCGCGGGAGCCCCCAGGCCACACGATTCCTCCTGGGACTGAGACACCACGTCCCTCCGACGGGAGGCCGACCCGGGGCAGTGCATGGGTGCTGAGAGGCGGACCGTTCTGGCGCCCGGCGTTTTGCCCAGGAGGCGCCTGAGCAGTTTCACGTGGCTGACCTCGTCCGGCCACACGACCCTGCGCCCGTCACAGCCACGTTGCCACTGGCGCTGCACGGACCTGAGCTAATTGGTGCGGAGGCTGTGATGGTCATGAGGGCAGACACGGAGGGAAGGGAAGAGCATTCCCCCAGGAAGGATGTCATGAGCGGGCCTCTAGCTGGGGTGGACAGCCAAGGCAGCCGTCACTGGGGAAAGGAAGAGAGGCGGGGAAGGGCAGGCCCCGTCCCCTCTCTGCCCCCTCGCCATCCAGTGAGGTTGCCAGAAGGGCAGGGTTCTGGAGGCACGTTAAAATAATGGGAGGAATCGGGCTGGAGCTCTGAAGAAGCAGAAAGTGAGGTCACCCCAAAGGGCGACTCCAGAAGGGGGCGGCTCTGCTAATTCGGCGTGTGCTGCCTTTCTTCAGCTCCAGGCATGATTTCGCAGAAACGAGCACTGCTGGCTTTTGGGCAACTTCCCGCCAAGCAAGCGCACGGCTCAGGAGCTGTGTCACTTTCCTCAGCGCACAAAAAGGGTGCCTCTGCCCATGCAGACCCTTCATCGAGGAAAAGCGCAGCTGCGGTGGCCTCCGGGCAGCCCGTTACGCCGGCCCGGTGGTGGCTTTAGGCCCACCAGGCGGTGAAAGCGTCCTCGTTTGGTGGCGCCCTTCCTGTGGCACCGGCTGCCCCGGCCCGTCTGTGGCTGCTGCTGCTCTGGGGAGGGGGAGGACCCTCGGGGAAAGGGAGAGGACAAGGCTCGGGGGAAACGGGGCCGGTGCGGCACTCACTTCTGAAGTTCTGGCTCGGCGGCTCCTAGATAAGGACACGACATCTCCATCAGGGCCTTGGCAAAGTTCTGGTGAGAGACACACGGGCCCGTGAGCTGGCAGGCGAGAGTCGCTTCCGCAGAAGGGGGTGCTGGGGCCAGATCCTGCCAGGAACTGTGCTCCTCCCCGGGGCCTGCCGAGTCCCTCGGCAACAGGGGGAGACCCTCTGCAGGTGCTCAGAGGTGCAGCTGTGAGCTGTGCAGAAAGCCCAGGCATGGGCCGCAGCCGCAGCAGCATATAAATCCACTAAGCAAACAAAGGCGGCCTGACCCACCCCTAGCTTTGTTCTCTTAAGAGATTTCATGGGATTGCAAATGGGAGCGAAATCTAATTCGCATGAAAACGTTTGGCAGTTGGACGGAATCTGCCGGGCCTCTTCGCAACGACACGTTGCCTGTTTGGAACCACGATATTGCAGGCCGCGCTGCCCCGCATTTGTTTGTCAAGGTCAGCCTGGAAGCATCACTGTGCCGACCAGGAGCCCCGGGATGGATCGCCAGCCTCCCTAATCCAAGGAGAAACCGTGCCGGCGGGGGGGGGGGGGGGGGGGGGGGAACCACCCCCCCCCCCCCGCGCCCCCGCGCGCGGCGCGGGGGGGGCCGGGGGGGGGGCCGCCGTTGTGGGGGGGCC